AGAATGAGCTGTTTTTATCTACGTCGGGTCCTCTTCTACGGCTGCCATGTTGAACTGCCACGTTTCTACAGTAGCCCAGAACGGACAAACCAAACACTTGCTCTAGATAGGGCCTTTTGTGTTTTTCGCAGCCATTGTAGATTCTCTTGTAAGGCAAGCAGTATTCAGTTGGTAGCAATATGCAACCTCACTTTTAGATGCCACTAAATCCTACACACTGGTCCTTTAAAACAGCAAACTTTAAACAAACTGTTTTAATTTTAACAGAGTAATCAGTGGATTTACACATGGGGCGAGGTAAATCTGCACAAATCCTTTGTGTAACATTTAACTCTGACACAAACTGGTGATGAGGTAGCAAACCATTTTGACAATCTTGTCCTTTAAGAAAACGAAGAGTCAAAAATGAAAGAAGCTGTTCTAGTTGAGCTGTCTTAACGTTATTAGAGTCTGTTGCACTAATACATCTTTTAAAACTGTATGAACTCTGACTTATTGTCCCTAAAGCAACCAAGCTAGTGAGTTTGCTAACTGAGAATAAGCAAACTACCTCAGAGTATGTGACTGTGATTGTGACCGACTAGCCTAGCATGTTCCGAGCTGGCTAGTGTGACTGCTGTTGGCTCGCCAGCTACAGGAGTTCACCAACTCGCCTTGCTAATAGTCCTTCCATCACCAAACATCTAGCACTGCCTATTACACAAGGATGTGTGGATGAACTTTGCTAAAAGCCCTGCTGGCAACCCTTTAAGGTTGCATTGATTATTTACACCCCACAATACGCAATTTAGTTGTTTTTTTTAACTGATGATGGCACTACACAAATGGTCAGGGGTTTACTAAAATCATTGGGAATCAACCTCTGGGGACCAGGAATTTCATGACAGTCTGGGTCAGATATGTGGATCTGGATTTCATCATTCGACCTATAAAAGTCCCTCTCCACCAGATGTAGGATTCTCCCTTATCAGAGTTCATCTCAGGATGCTCAGCAGTGGTTTGTGTCAGCGCTGCGCTCAGTACAGCCACAAATCATCCACAGCAGAACTCATACAGTTTAACAAATGGTTAAAATCCTGGACTTGATTCCTCCTCCTCCTCCACTGTTTCTCTAGCCCTTCATCGGAGCGGTCACTTGAGATCGGCTGTGAACCGAGATGCTGTGTTTGTCTTTTTACATGACTCATGAGCTTTATCAGCACTTCGAGCCAGACTGGGAGTTTTTTTTTTTAATAGAGGGATGGGAGAGAAGGGACGAAGGGGGGTTCAGAAGACTTGACTAGTCTGAGTTCACACCAGACTGACGGAGAGGCGTGGGCGTAGACTAACTACACAGTCCTTGGAGGAGAGCATCCATGCGCATTAATAATCTGAATGCAGAAAATATCCATCCCACAAACTAATTTCATCTATGTATTCTGCTGTGTTTAAAGACTTCTTGAGTAATTTTAAATACATGAGAGGGTGGTTTGTTGGTCTGAACGCAGCCTTACTTGCTCTGGTGTGACCAGTAGCTAGTGGTGGCTAGTGTTAGCAAACTTTGGTTTTGTAACTAATATTATTGAGTCAGTGTGCTGACTGTGTGGCTCCTCTCTGCTAGTGCTACTGTCACAATACACTTTAGCATTTAGCATTATCTTGTAATGGTCACTTGTGGTCACAGTGGCTGCTGGTACACAGGCTCAGGGCTGGGAGATCGAGCCAATATAAACAGGATTGGAATATGTCCTTAATACGAATTAGTACATATGATTTACTGTTGATAAGTTAGATTGCTTAATGTACTAATAACCAATCACATTACATAAACAAAGCATCTTCTAACCTTTCACAGAGATTAAACAGATTGTTTTAAGAATGGACAGAAGAGTGCTAGAAACATATGCTATTCTTTGACATCAAATGTCACATAAATAGATGCTCACTGATCACAACAACCTAAAACTGAGACAACTGTTATGGATAAACATGGTGACAAAATCGGTGGCGTGGCAATACTTACACTTCACACATATCTTATATCACAATCCTGTGCCAGCAGAGAAATGCTACAGTAAGTTTATCACCTGAAGCATCATCATTCAGTATGACAGGTCAGAAAGACCTTCACGCTTCTAAAGATTTCAAAGATGCCGCGTGCTTATGTTTTTCTGGGCTGTGCTGCTGTAACTGTGAGCCAAACAGCTGATCTGCAGCGTAATATAGTGCACGCACAGTCAGGCTTGTGCATAGGAATACGGAAGTTCTGCAGTGTGCCAAAGAAAAAGGCTGTCTGTGAGATAAAGCAGTGAAAATATTCTAAATATAGCAGATATTGATTTTCCTTTTTTAGGTGGGCCTTTTTTATATGGCTAAAATAAGTTTTTCTGCTGCCCCTGTCCACAGCAGTACATTGCTCTGTCCAAGAGCTCCAATACAGAACCACTACAGTCTGTGCCTCGATGGGACAGGTCACTACTGAACTTGTCTCAAACGCAGGATCTTTACTTATCGGGTCAGCTCTGAAACACAAACCGTTCGCATGTTCGAAGGGTGCGAGGGGAAAAAGAGGCGGGGAGGAAAAGTAGCATTAGCAGCAGCCGGGCTGGTTTGTGAACGTTTTTAATAGGTGTGCGACCTGAGGAAAGTGACTGGCTAAGAGTAAACAGATGTAGACTCTCCGCCAGAGTGTGATGTCATGACTCAACCAGGCACGACCACACGCTGTCACACACAAGTACGAATCCTCCATCCAAACCGGCTCTCTTCACACACACAGAGTCATCCCTCCTCCGTGCTGCTTATGCAACCAGGGAGAAAAACAGCAGCAGTTGTTGACGGTGCTCATGGCGTCTGGCTGCCAGTGATGAGGACTGCAGTGTGAGGGAAGCAGAGAGGTGACTGATGCCAAAACAACTAAAGCACGGCATCTGTCTGCTCATAACAAAGACTCATTATCGCTTCACGCTCTCGCTGCGTTGGATTACACACAGCATTTGCTCATTTATGTCTCCATATAGCAGGGATTTCCTAACATCTTTAAATCAACTACCTGAGGCCATGATCACCCTTTTATGGAGCTCATAACTTTTGGTTTTTATTTTGATAGACCTGAATTTATTGGTTTGAATTTCTTTTTTTACGGGTTGTGGGGCTGATCTGATGGCCTTATCTGTAGCATAAACAGCAGCTCTTGTGCATTTCTTTCCCATTTGCCTTCATTTTCTATTTATAGAAGCATATTCCAGCTTACCTGCAGAGCCTGTTTATTGTAAACTGTGCTGCAACAGCAACCAGTACAGCTGTATGATGTGCTAGAACATACAGTCCACATTAAGATGCATTTAGATAGACCCCTTTTTAATCAGAATCAGCTTTGTTGGCCAAGTATGTGTCCCCAATAAGGAATATGACTCCAGTTTTAAGTTGCTCCCAGTGTACTTGGACACAGCTCTAAGAACAATTTACAGGAAAGCAGCCAACCAAGTTAGCTGGTGAACATAGTGTAGCATTTAGCAGCTAAAGACACAGATGTTGGAAACCGACTCAGAGCTAAGAGGAGTGAGAATATTGCACTTCTGGTTAAATAAACAACGTTTTGCTAACCGGTTTGCCATTCTCTGTAAATGCTGTGTTATCGGCTCAATACCAGTGCGCCCCAAGGGTCCAACAAACAAGTTTAAGATCAAATAAAATGTGGAAAGCTTGATGTTAAGGGGTTAAATATGTAGGTATTTTACAGTAAAAACAGCAAACTATGTAGCCTTGTAACCGTTCAGCCTGACACATTTCAGTCAAACATCATTTTCAGTCGACACAGACGGTTTAGTAGCACTTGCTAGGGGTAGTTAGCTTGATGTTTTCTGTGAATTCACACTTATTATATTTGTGGCCTTTTGACAGTTGCTCTTTTTCACAGATGTAGCTAAGTCGCTAACTAGCTAAATGAGAAGATGATGTTTTTCTTCTTAAACTTGCACATAACGCTCTGATTAGTTGACTGTTTTTCCAACTGGGGGCGCGAACACACACACACACACACGGTGGTTGCTAACATGTGGCTAAATGAGACTACAGAGGTTGTTGGTGACGTTAAACTTGCTGCCCACCGAGACTCATCTACTTACTAGTCTGCCTTTACAGAACTTGTAACTCAAACTTTCCAACTTGTAGATTTTAATTACAAGATCAGAAAGTTTAGTGGTGATGGTGTTCAAGTCATACAACTGGTGTAGTTAGTTTATAGCTGTTTTATAGCTTTTTACTTCTGCTGATCACATTTACGCTTCATACATTATAAAAGCAGTGTTCATTTGTAAAGACTATGTTGCTGAAAAATCAAATCATAAACCTTTTCTGCCACATAGCTTGTTTACTGCAATAAACTTCAAAATCCAGAGAAAAATTCCTATTGGCTTTCTGTCAAAGGAACTTTTCGAGTTGGCCTTCAAAACGTCATCCCTACAGCACAGCCTAAATTAAATTT